TAATATTAATTTTAGTTAATTAATAATAGTCTGGCTGTGGTCTAGATTAATAGATATTCCTTCTTATTTAATAATAAAGCCTAAAAACTTTACCTTTTTTTTATAAAAACTATATTTTAATAATTTTATATATAAATTATGCCTTTTTAATTAATTAAGGACTTTTTAAATATAGTGCATATATTTTTTTTTTATTTCCAAAAAAATAAAAATATTATTAAGGTAAATAATGCAAAACTTATTAAAAATCCTGCTTATAACTATATTTATATAAGATTAAAATATAGCTAGCGTATTTATTAAGCTAAAAGGCATAACTATATATTTATAGTAACTATAATAAGTTTAAAATGCTGTTTTTTATTTATTTCCCCTTTTAATTTATATTTAATAATACATGTCACGTAAATTTAGCTTAGTAAAATATCTTATATTTACTAGCTAATTTATTAGCTTGTTAATACATGGTAGTAAATAATAATTTTTATTAATTATTATATTTAATTTATAATAGTTAATATAAAAATATAAAAATTTATTAAGTTTTTAAATAAAAAGCACCGGCGCTCCGGCACTGCTTTAAAATAGCTTAATTTATTTTTTTTTAAGTATTTTATTAAGATACTTTTTTAATATTTATAACTTATACTAAAAGAGGCTGTAAATAGGACCTTATAAAGGCTTTTTATTTTTTTTTAATAAAATTTTATACTTTACTTTACTAGTTAGAAGTTAAGCAGCTTTTTATTTAAAAAAAACTTTACTTTAATAAATATACTAGGGTGGCAGGACTACTTTTACTTTTTTTTTAGTTTTTTTTAATTAATAAAGTATTATAAGTACTGGTTTCTTGCGTATAGTCTTTGCAAACTTTTATAGTATTTTAATTTTAATAAAAGGTATATAGTTTTGCCAAGTTTATTTTGCTATAATAAGGTAAAAATTTAGATTTAATTTAATTATTTAGGGATGTTTTAGGACTGCTTAATAATTTTTATAAATAAGATTAATAATATAATATATTAAGTTAAATATTTTTATAACTTTTTTTAAATTATAAACCTAAGTACAGGCTTGTAAACGCCCGTAGTAAAAAGTAAAGGTATTATTAATATATTAAACTAGCTATACCATGTGGTTAGTATTTATTTTAATACCTTATTTTTATAAATATTAAATTAAAATAAAATTAGTATTAGCCCTAGTGTTAAGCAGTACCTTAAATTATTAATTTACCTTATTTTTTTATATCCTAAGATCCGCAAGGATAAAAAAAGTAGTTTCCTTTTTTAAATTACATAACTTTAATAACTTAGGGCCAGGGGATTATTATTTATTTTTTACTAATTTTTTTTTAGGCTTTTTTTTATTTAAACAGGCCTTTAATAAGTGGCCTAATTTATTATAATTAAAATAAAAACCCTTTTTTTTGCGGCGCTTTTTTTTTTTTTTTAAAAAGTAAGTTATTGCTTTTTTTCTTGCTCTTTTTTTTTCCCCCTTTTTTAAAAAAGCTACTTTGCCGCTGTTCTGGTTCCGTCCTAAATTATTTTTATTTTTTTTATTTTTAAAGTTAAAACTAGCTTTAAACTTTTTTTTTTCTTGGCCTTTAAGGCCTTGTTACACTTATTAATAAACTTTATATAAATTACTACTATATTTACTTTAAGCATAGTTTTTAAGGGTTTTTTTTAACTTTTTTAAGTGTAAGTAAATATTTTTATTATAAATTTTAGTAAGTACTTACACCCTAAACTTTAAATTATTAAAATATAAGCCTAATTTTATAAAGCGGAGTCCCTAAAAAGTAATATTTTAAATACCTTATTATTTAGTTAAAAAATACTAGGCAGCGCGGTGGCCCTGGTTTATAACTAGGTTAACTTATATATATATAAATTTTTTAAAATTTACCTAGGTTTGCTTGTTATTTTAAAGTTTAACTTAACCTTTTTAATAATTACGGGCGTTTTTTAGAGCGTTTTAAATAGTAAATATAATTTTTTTATTATTTATTTAAAATTTTTTAGGGGTGCTATAAAAGTAATCCTCTAAATTTTTAAACTAGATTTTAAGCTTTATTATATTTTTTTTTTTTAACTTTTTAACCTTTTTAAACTTAATCTTAGGCTTTTAAAAAGCCTTTCTTTTTTTATAGTAAAGCTTATAATTTTTAATAGCCTTTTAATACCTTTTTTTTATATATTTAAAACTTTTAAACTTTTTAAAGTTAATATTATTAGTACTAGGTTTTAAAAATAAAGTAGCTCTAGGATAATAACTTAAGTTATTTAAGCTTAACTTTAAACTAAAATTAAAAAAATTACTAGGATTAATTAAAGCTTACTAAAAATATTAATAAGAAAATTAGCACGGGGATTAATAAAAAAATTAATATAAAAATTAATAGCTTAATATTATTTTAGCTTTAGGTTACAGGGGCAACTTTTTTTTATTTTTTTTAAAAAAATATTTTAATTTTAACACGCGATACTAATTATATTAGGGTTAAAAAATAAATAGGCTAGGAGTTATAATTTTAGGCTACTCCCCTTTTAAAATAGCTTTAATTATAATAAATTTTAAATTAATAAATTTTAGTAGTAATATAAAATAATAAGGTAAAAAATATATCTTACCCTGCGCTTTACTAAGCTGGTAAACTAAATTATTTAAGTTAGGTTTTTTTTTTAACTATTTTTAATAATAATAAAATTCTTAAGTATAAATAAAAAAGGGGATACTTTTTTAGCTATTTAAGTTTAGGTTTTAAAAACCTTAATTAAAACACCTATAAACCACCTCCGCTTACCCTTTAAAAATCTAGTTTAAAATATTATTATTAAAAAAGTTTAAAAAATAGTAGGTAAAAGTAACTCTAACTATAAGACTAATAAGTTTTAAAAATCTTTACTAATAATAAAAATATTAATAAAAAAATTTAACTAATAAAAATAAAGTATTTTAAACCCTATTAAATAATATTAAAAAAGTTATTTAAAAATTTTAATAAAGGCTAGCCTTAAGGCCACCTTTATAAACCTTTAAGCTACGCTTAAGCTATTTTTAACTAAAAAATAAATATAGGTTTAAATACTTTATATACGGGTTTTTACTTTAGCTTATACTTAAGGCCTATCCTAGCCTTGCTTAATTAATAACCAAGACCCTAAATATTAATAACCTAATTAAGTTATATAGCCTAATATAATGGTAAGGTATGCCAAGCCTTGGCAGCCTAAGGCCAAAGCTTAGGTTACCTAAGGCGCCAACTCCGGACCAATGGTGGATTGGCTCCAGTGACATCAAACAGAAAAACGTTGGCCCTGACATAAATTAGCGTTGCAGGCCTTAATTAAAAGTTAATTTTTTTAAGCTATATTTTTACTAGCTTTTTTTTATATATTTAATGTGGGTATTAAAGGTAATAGCTAGGTACCTTTTTATATAAGTAAATTTATAAATATTAAAGGTACCTAGGTTATTAAAAAAATAATTAATATAGCTAATTAAAAAAAATTAATATAAAATTTTAGTTATAAGGCGGCATTTAAAATAAAAAGTATTAAAATTTAAGTTAAAAACTAAAAAAACTAAGTTTTTTGCTACTAGGAGTTTAAGGGCTTATTTTAAAATAAGTTTTAAAAGTTATTTATTTTAAAAAGGTATTTTTATATATAAATTTTAGTGTAAAGTAACTTTAAAAAAATAACCTTAAGTAACTTAAAGTTATAATATAACTTTAAATATTAAACAGGCACTAGTGCGGTGCTAAACTTAATTTTATTAAAAAATTATATTTTTTAACAAGGAATGCGCTTCCTTAATTTTTTAGACTGCCTTTTGCTTCTGGACGGCGCTAAACCCCTTTTAATTAAGGGAGCGGTTAAGGGGTTCCGCGCCGGTGTGGCAGACGGAATCTAGTGAGTAGCCAACGATAGCGAATCTCACCTATCGCGTGCGTAGAAAGCGCAGCGTCGCCGCATGAGATTGCCGCATTGATAGATGACATCATCACATGATCTGAAAGCTGCGTCCAGGAACAAGCAACGTTTGCTCATCGAGGCGCTGTTGGGTTCGGTAATATATTTGCCTTGTCGACGTTGAACGGACAGATCACCGAGCGCACTAGGTCTCATCAAGGCCTAGAGTCCGACACCGGTGGGCGGCCCCCCAACCGAGTGTCAATAAAGGACTAAGCCTTTTAGTGCGAACAGAGTGTCAGTTGGGATTGGCCGACAAAGGCCGAGAACAGGCTATCTAGCGGCCATGATGCAACGTGAGAGATGAACGATGTCAGGAATTTGCAGCGAAACGTGGAGGGAGAGGGTGGTGAGAAAGGTGGGATTTTATACGAGCGGCAGAGACATGGGCCGCCGAGTGGGACAAGCTCAGTATCAGAATCATTCGAGCCCGTTCCAGTTCCTTGGTTCGATAAGTTTTCAGAGTCAGACCAGTCTAAAAGGATTATTCATCTCCAGGGCTGCATAGTCCTCTCCTCTTTCTGTCCCCTTCAGCCTTCGCGCCCCAAAATGCTCCTCGATCCCCACTGCCATTCAGGTTGAGAACCTGCAAAACGCCCGACTCTAGTCGCATCCAAACTGCTCCGTCGCCGATCGCTAGAGTCCTTTTCTCAAATCCACTGCTTAGTCCTCTTCTTGACTCATTCAACCCTGCGTCAGTCGCATTTTTCCTGCTCTTCTTTGTCTTGACCTGTCATTGTCACATTCTTATGTCGATCTGGTTCTCAAAGAAAAGACAATAAGAGAGAATTCGCGATTTCTCTCTCGGCCTTGTCCGTCTCCGCTGCTCTTTGTGCCTTCCATGACTCGGTAAAGCTGTTTCCACTCGTGGGAGGTGCGATTGGCGATAGCGCTGCGCAGCTTTCACTCTGCACCCCTATTATTACTTCATTTTGATTTCGTACACTCGCTCGCTCTTATATTATATATACCATTCGGCATACTTATTCGGACTTATTTTATGCGGCGGTCCGATTAGCCATGGAAACTCCGGCCGCGTCTTTCCTCCCCGACAACGCGGGCGACGAGGATCCCTCGCCAGAATCGGCTTCCTATGTTCAGGAAGAGGGCGAATACTCTGGCACTCCTTCTAACACTGCCCAGGAGCTCACCACAGAAGATGCTGCGCCCGACGCCAAGCAGGTCAAGACCCCGCATATGCAAAAGAGACGGCGAGTGACCCGGGCCTGTGACGAGTGCCGCAAGAAAAAAATTAAGTGCGATGGCAAGCAACCATGCACCCATTGCACTGTCTACAGCTATGGTGAGCGTCGACTTCTACTCTACTAATCTATCACGACTAATTCCTCGACTCAGAATGCACTTACGATCAACCTTCGAATCGCCGCCGCAACCCCGCACCGCAGTATGTCGAAGCGCTCGAGAGCCGCTTGCACAAAGCCGAAGCCCTCCTCCGTGTCGTCCTTCCCGACTTGAATCTCGATGATCCGCAGTTCGATGTGCATGCAACAGAGCAGATGTTATTGGCGTTCAAGCGGGAAAAGCTGCAGCAGCCACCACAGCCGCCGGCGCAGCCACCCACGCAACTACCGGACACAAATGGCTCCGCGGACGCTCAGGGCTCGGATGGAGCTGGAGCTGATGAGTCATTGCTGGAATCGATGGTCGACAAGTCTGGGTCCCTTGATCTGGACGACCAGGGCCATTGGGATTACCACGGGCATACGTCTGGTATCATCTTTCTTCGCCGGCTCCGTAAACAGCTTGGAGTCAGTCAGCCGGGCGGTAGCGAGATCCCCTTGCGTACACGGCCCGCCCTGCAGCACTTTTTGGAGAGCCCCAAATCGACATCCGATTCTCCGCAAGAGCCATCCCTGCCTCCGACCCACGATCTGCCGCCTCGCGACGTTGCACGGCGTCTGTGTCACAATGCGTTAGAGGATGGATGTGCAATCATACGCTTCGTGCACGAGCCATCATTCTATGCGCTGTTAGATCGAGTTTATGATACGCCTCCGGAGCAATTCACCAATGAAGAGAATTCCTTCCTGCCGCTGCTGTATATCGTTATGTCTGTTGGCTGTTTATTTTCCGACGATGGGGCTGGAACCTTGGATTTATCTGGATATGAAAGCGCGATAGGTCAAGGGTATGTATGTCGGTCCTCATACAAATTCCCGCTAACTTGACTAGATTTCAGTACTTCAAGGCCGGTCGGCAATTACTGGAAATTACTGATTGCCGTGATTTGTTGTCTTTGCAAGCGATCTGCTTCATGGTTATATTCTTACAGTCCTCTGCCAAATTGAGCACCTGCTATTCATATGTCGGAATCGCTTTGCGCTCTTCGCTCCGACTCGGTCTGCATCGTTCCGTCACTGCCAATTTCAACCCAGTCGAACGGGAATTACGCCGTCGCATATTCTGGGTGATCCGAAAAATGGATGTCTACGTTAGCACACTGCTTGGCCTCCCACAGATGCTGAGCGATGACGACATTGACCAGGAGTACCCGATGTCGATCGACGGAGAGTTTATCACCGAAAATGGAATACTGCCGACGCCGGAAGGCCGGATACATGCGATGGTTGGCGCCAATGCACACACGCGACTATCGGTTATCGTCCTCAAAATCGTTAAATACATATACCCTCTCAAGACCGCGCAACACCGGTCTGAGTCGGATCAGCGCTATGTTGTCAGTCATTCGAAAATTAGGGAGATCGAGCGGGATCTCCAGAATTGGATGGAAGAGCTTCCTGCGGCGCTGCGGCCGGGGACCGAAGTTTCTCCCCAGATTGAACGGTATGCTCCTTTTGACTGGTTGGTCAAAGCTCTGAACTAACATATGCAGGATACGGCAACTTTTACGTATCAGCTATGCCCATGCGCAAATGGTCATGTACCGACCTTTCCTGCATTATGTTTCCAGCGGATCGCAAGCTCGAGGGGTAGACCGACGTTCGTACGCCTGCGCCGCCGCCTGTGTCAGCGTTTCACGAAACATCGTTCATATCACCACCGGGATGCATAAAAAGGGACTTCTTAATGGCTCTTTCTGGTTTACCATGTACACCACGTACTTTGCCATTTTATCGCTGCTCTTCTTTGTGCTCGAGAATCCCGACTCGCCGACGGCAAAAGACGGCGTTCTCAAGGACGCCATGGAGGGCAAAAACACGCTTGCTGGGCTAGCAAAGAAGAGTCTTGCAGCTGACCGTTGCTCGCAAAGCCTCAATTGCCTCTTCAAGAACCTCCCTGAGCTGCTCAAGAACAGGCAGAGCTCAAAGACTCAGGTTAATCTGAAACGACCAGCACCCTCTAACCAACCCGCGCCTGAACCGCAGCCAGGATCGCTACAAAGAGCAAGCACTTTCCCTGTCCAACTTCTCAGTCGCCCGTCCAAGCAGGACGGTAATAGAAGCCCCAAGAGCTTGGATGATAACCATCCACCTCGTTCGCCCGCCAAACCACGCGCAAATCGCCGATCGTGGGTTCAGCCTTCTGAAACTCCGACTAGTGCTGTATCAACTCCACCAGAACATACACCACCTTCCAGTGCACAAATGATGCCTCGGACTTTGCCTATAAGGGAGGCCCCGACGGCACAGTTCACACAGCCAATGCCGAACACCACTGGTTTCCCGGATCTTATGCCCATCATGTTTCCGTCGGATGATCCATTTGCGTATCCCACGCAACCGATGTCGACGCTCGAAAACGATCATTTCCAATTTGACGGCAATGCGACTACAGCACCATTCATGTCTTCAATTCCCACCACTGTGGACCAGAACACTTTGAACGGCTTTGGCGGCTTACCAATGTTCCAGAATGCGACCCAGAGCAGCATAGGTGCGGCCCTCTCAGGTCGATTGTCAGGATCGCATATGCAGTCACCTGTTTCGCATGTGTCAACTCCGGGCGAAGCCGTCAACAGCCCCGATCTTGTCTCCATCCCGAACCAGAATTTCATCTGGCAAGGATACGGCATAGACCAGAATCAGAATTACGTCCCTGATGCGACGATGCAGCAAATGCCTACCGGCATAGAGCAGCCTTTTGGCATGGCGGACGATAGCGCCTTCAACGCCGGCCTCGATCTTCCTGGAGTCCCATTGGATGACATATTCGGCAACACAGACATGAAGAACGGCTTTGCGAATGACGATTGGACTCAGTGGATGAACATTGGGTAGTTGAGAAGAGCGAGTGGTAATGTGATGAGTATGAAAATATATAATGACCGGATGCATGGATGATATCAGGCGTTGTGGGAATACCAAACACTTCTATTGCTATCTATCTCTAGCCTTTATAATACAAAATCTATCAAAATCTAATGCACATCCTTTGTGTATATACAAGAACCCATTCAAGAAATTAAAACTAGCGCCTCCTCCACTTCGGCGGCTGATACCAACTCCAAATATTTAAGCCAACCTTCTCTCCCTCTTCCACCGGAAACGCTGCATGCCACGTCTCCGGCCACCCACTCCCATCAGGTCTCAGATTCTCCCAAAACACCGCATTCCCCTTGATCGGCTTGAACGTCACGCCCTCCCTCTTCTCCGTCTGACCCTCGTCGTCCCCGCACTCAATAAACGCACACCACTTCTTATCCCTCGGCTTCCTCAGCAGCGGGAAGTTTGTCCCGCCCCCTTTACACTCCGCCTTGAGATACACCATAAACGTGCTGATGCGGTCCCCACCGTGCCCCTTCGCCGTCCCAACCCAGTCATAGTGGTGCGTGTAGTGGCCCGACACGTTATACCGCTGCGCCCACATGCGCTCGATATACAGATTCGGCTTCCAGCCCTGGAACGAGCGCGCGCGGGCCTCAATGCACCGGACCGTCTGCGTGCGCGGGAGGAGCGCCTGGTCGGAGAGGCGTCTTGTCGTGTCGATATTCGGCGTTGTGTCATTCTTCACGGACGAGGAGAATAGGGCTGAGGGGATGTAGTTCGGTATACTAGATAGCTAACTGTTAGTGGACTGATTGGAAGGAAGGGGAATGTGGCGCTTTCCCGCATACCTAGCATCAACCAACGCATCCGCCTCTTCGCCCGAAAGAAAATTCTCGATGTATATGACCAGCGGCGCATGCGAGAGGATGTGCACGCGGTAGTCATCGTCCGGGCATGTTACGGGTGTTCCGTCGTCGAGACTCAGGACGTCCGGGTTGAGGTTGAGCAGTGTATCTCCGTCCGCGACGTCGTCTTCGTCATCGTCGAATCGGTACGAGCCATGCTGCGGATCGCTCGGGAGGATTTGGCGCAGGAGGGGGTTGATCACGAGCAGGTAGAGGGGGATTAGGTAGAAGAGGGAGGAGAGGGAGATGTTGAGGGGCATGGCACTGGCGATGGCATGCGGGCTAAGAATAATTGCTTTTCCTATGGATGAGGTTGCTCTGGCATGTGATTGGCGTTGAAAGGCCGGCGTTTCCGTTTGCTTGGCTTGGTGGTTTGATAAGGGGCACGTGAGCTTGTGATAAGAGCTGAGTGCGATAAGCTGATAAGATAGAGGCGGTCGGATAGTGCCAGTCTATTGTGGTCGTATTGAACAATGTGCTGGATGTTCAGCAGTAATCCTTAATGCGTGTTATCATTTATAAACTGACTACAGTGGAATCTCCTCGCTCGGGCTTGCTGAGCTTTCCCCTATATCTTATCCTAGCGTTTAGGAAAAACGAACGCCCAGCTACACCATACGGCACTTACACCGCCCTCACGATAAGTGCCTGAAGAACAAGGCGTCGATCTTATCTCGCCGACCGCGAATTTTCCTATCCACGCGCATGTCCATACGTCCTTTATTTGACCTTGATACTGCTTGCAGTCTTGGAATCTGGATTTTCTGAGTATCTTACACCTTTCCCCCGCTCCCGAAACACCATCTCCACTCTTGTACTAGAGCTCTATCAACCGCGCCGGTCACTCAGCCGAGATTCACTCGAAACGGCATTCCGCAACAAACGACTGTCTGTCTTTGTGGTTAGTTGAGAAAACAAAGCTCCCTATCTTTAATCTGCTCGGAGAGCTGTTTGATTAAACTGGGTTTATATATTTGGTCAATGTCGCTGTCCTAATATTCATTTCTGCGCCGTCGCCCTCGCGCATGTGACCATCGAAATACGGACAAATCCAGAGCATTACGAATCGCCCTTGATTTTTGATAGGGCACTGACTTCTGGTTGCATCGCTTTATATAGCTGTCAGTCGCGCAGGAAAGTGGTGCCCGAATCTAATCGCGAGCTCGCTGTAAGGTGCCGGCCAGCAGCTCGAAATGGCTGGGGTCAATCCGTATGAGACCGATCCGGCGCGTATACCAGCAGATGATCCTTTCCATCAACGAAGTCCGAACTATGGCCGCTATCTCCCTCGGGTTGATGACTTCCAACCCCGTTATAACGACTGGTGCCAATCCGACCCCAGTGCGACAGAGTACTGGGAAGACACCGTGAGGGCTCTGTGCATCCCGGAAAACTCATTACACCTGCAAGGGGAACGACAAGCGTATGCTGCTGGCAGCATTATCATCCGAGTCGATCAGGAGGATGCAGTTGGCGAGGCCGCGGACAAGTTCTTGTGCTTGAATGCGAACGAGCTCAATGCGTCCAGGAAGGCGGAGCATGCCTTTCGGAACTTAGGGGTTGCAGTGCCGACGATATACTACTGCGGAATAATAGATGGGAAGAATGTCACGGTAGAGGCTCGGATACCTGGCGTTTCTTTGGACGTTGCCTGGAGGTATCTCAACCCGGAACAGGTGGAGGTGATGAAACAACAATGTCGCATCGTATCGCATGAACTCGGTAACGCGGACTCAGGCCAGGAACAACCATCCTACGTCTGCCCTGAGCTCAACTCACATTTACCTTTGGAGGGTGCACAGATGGAGCGTGACTTGCTTTTCGGAGACGAGAAACCTGGCAGTTACCTGCTTGTTCATAACAATATCCTCATGTCCAATATCGTCGTGAACAACCATCGCATTGTGGGACTCATGGGTTGGCGGTACAGTGGGTATTTTGGGTTTGGGAGGGCAGACAAGGTACATCGACGGATTAGGGTTCCGCGACTGGTATCAGAGTCTGAATCAGGGCCCATGCAAAATCAGAACGTCCAGACGTGGACCAACCTCTACGAAGGCCTTCCAGGGACCGCACCCGAACCGCTTGAGCCAACACGCCCAGTCAAGGTGGAACCATCTAGCACGAACCTGAACAAAGTACCCCTGAATAACGGGGATGTCAAACACGGCATAGACACGCAGGAAGAGCACCCGACGCCCAAGAACTTGGCAAGCCTAAAAAATCGCAACTCAAGAGCCTCATCGTCAGACCGGTCATCCCCATCAAATTCCACCAAAGGAGCAGCCAAGCGGGCAGGGCCGGGGACGAAGAAAGGCATTGGGAGAAAGACTTCAATCAAGAAAAGTAAGCTCGATATTGAGGACAATGAGAGCGTGTGTAGCCGCCGCTCTCAAACTCCCTCGTCAGGCCGCACAAGCAAGGCTCCTGCGAAGAAGCAAAGCTCGGCATCCCTCGCAAATTCGCCGGCGCCTGAACCCAAGAGGAAAGGTGGCAGGAAGTCGAAAGTTGAGGTAGAGGAAGAAGAAGTTGGGGAAGAAGGTGAAGAGCACGAGGAAGGGGAGGATGAAGATGTGTCAGATCCAGACACGCTTTTCTGCATCTGTCGGAAGCCTGATAACCACACTTGGATGATTGCTTGCGACGGCGGCTGCGAGGATTGGTTTCATGGGAAGTGCGTCAACGTCGACCCGCGAGACGTGGAGCTCATCTTGAGATATATCTGTAAGTCTCAAGTTACTCGGCTTCAACTACATACTGATCATGGACAGGCCCGAACTGCAAGGAAAATGGGAAAGGATCGACATTGTGGAAGCCCATGTGCCGACTAAAAGAGTGCCGAAAACCCGCTCGCCACATAAATTCAAAACCTAGCAAGTACTGTTCTGATGAGCACGGGCTAGAGTTCATGCGTCAGAAGACTCGACACCTCAACCTGATCACTCAGCCAAATGGTCAGAGGCCAAATTCCTTCCTTAGGGCAGCCCTTAGCGGCACGCAAACACCGCGAGACGATGACAGCGAGTACGATTCGCAAATCGAGGATGAACAGGACAACAGCAACGAAGATCTGGGAAGCAAAGGCGGCGTCCTCACCCTTGGAGATCTCACTGCAGTCATAATGGGCGTGGGCTCAGCAGAAGAGTTCCGCAAACTTGGAGCTCACATCGTCGCACCTCCCGAAGAACAGCCCGCTCCAGAACCGACAGAGACAGAACCAGAAGTCCCGCCCACCAAGAAGAAACTCGGCCTGGACTTCAGCCCCGACAACCTAAACTACTCTCCCGACGAAGCGGAGAAGCTTGATAAACTCCGCAAGAGGCGAGACGACCTCTTCCACCGCCGAGACATGCTCGCCGCACGAAACACATTCCTCACTCTCGTACGCCACCGCTCGAAGCACATTCTCGAAATCCTGAAAAAGAGAGACCCCAAGGGCGGCTGGAAGGATATCTGCGGTTTCGATACACGACTCGCCTGGTCCGATGAGGAATTCGACGAGTGGCGGCTGTCAGAGCCAGGCAAGAAGGCGCTCGAGGAAGGGACGCCTGAAGCTCTGGCGTCGAGCTACCCCAGTACCAACGTCGATGCCGACGACGACACGGCTATGGACAATGAAGATGAAGATAGTCTTGAGAGTATCACCCGCGGCGTCTGCATGAAGAAGCGCTGTGAGCGGCATAAGCAGTGGCTCAAGGTGCAGCAGCTAGATGTTGGATTCGAGGAGCGTACGCTCGAGACTGATCTAGTTGAGTGTGAGAAGGAGGCGCAGAGTGTCGTCGAGCGCGCCGTACTGAGGATTTGGGCTGAGCATGGGAATGCTCAGAGTCAGCTGGAGAACGGCGCGTAGGCTGTTGGTATCAATTTCGGCTTCGGTTTTTTTGTCTATACTTCTCCCCGACCCTTCGATCTGGGACGTTGGAGCTGATACCCCCTCTTAACCGGGAAGGGGGCATTGCATTGTATCCGGAGTTTGTTTCATTGGCGTTGCATCAATGGCGTATACCGGCGGGTTGGTGGCTATGGTCCACTAGGAAGACAAAAGCTGGGGATACCTATACTTTGTAATATAATGTACCTGATGAGGTCTGTGCATGCAATGAGGTTATATAGACTACAAGCAAAGACTACATGGCCCGATCAGTGGGTGCACTAGCCCTTCCCATCCCAAACACACCACCTCCCAAGCCCACATCCCACGCGATCCTTAACCACCTCCACCACACTCGCCGCCCCACTAGTCTGCTGCGACACCATACTCGCCGTGATCGACACCAAAAGATGCGTATCAATCCCCTGATCCAGCGTCTTCATCAACAGACTAGGGAAGAGCAGCCCATCCGTGTAAAACACTGACTGGATCCCGCCCCCGCCCCCGCTTCCGTCACGCGTATCATCTCCCCTCTGGTTGGAATTCTGCGTTTGAGCCTGAGCTTGATATAAGCTCGGACTCGGTCCCACCCCCGCCGTATTCACAAGCAGCACGGAGAGGTAGCCGCGGTGCACGCGGCTCATCTGCGTGATTGTCCGCAGCAGACTCGTTAGCACCGCCGTCCCGCGCACCGCGTTGGACGAGCGGATGACTGCTTCGGTGAGGGTGTCGAGGCCTGCTATCACGAGCACCGTCTTCGTCTCCGGCTCGCCCGCTAGTGTTTGGTTCTGGGTCTGGGTCTGGGTCTGGGATACCTGGAAGATGGCGTGCAATCTCGTTTCGACTTCGCTGATTGCGTTGACGGCAGTGGGGAAGTCGAAAACTGGGAAGAGCTGCACGGTGTCGAGGAGGGATATTGCTTCGTTGCGGGAGATGGGTGGTTGAGGGGATGACGGGGGAGTTGAGAGGAGGGATGAGAGGAGTTTTGCGGGGGAGAAGATTGTAGTGCTGGGTGGGTGGATTATGTATGCCCTTGTCCTGATTTGTGTCTGCGTGTCGGGACTTTGGTTTGATGGTCGTGATTGTGGTGGTCTCCGGCGAAGCCAGGTTGTGAGGAGATGGCGTGGCAGCTGTATGCTTGTTAGTACGTTGTTTGTAGATAATGGCATAGCAGATGCATACCTCGCCAACAAATTCATCTTCATTGCCTCCAGGCGATCTGCATCTCAATCTTGAAAAACCGATAACTGTCCCGGGGCGGAAGATGCCATCTTCACTTGGTGGAGGGTGCAGGCCCTTGTCGATGTCGAGTTTCAGGTTCCATCTAGTGGACGGGTCTGGATTCGAGTCTGTTTCCTTCTGGTCTGAGAATAGGCTCGGATCGTCGTGTAGTAGGGAGCTTGCCAGGATGGGTATTGCTGGCTCGACGTTGTATGGCATCGCGCTGGCATCAGAGCGCGATTGCCCTGCAGGAAGCGGGATGGTGCGATCTTATGCTTCTTAGCCGTCAAGTAAATTGGGATGGTATGTTCGTATCCTTGGAGTTCTTGGTAAGAGAATAGCTTATTCCTATTGTCCACAGATTTTGACTTACGTATTGATAGAAGCAGATTGTTGTTCGATGAATGATGAAGCACTGATGTTGATGATGTTGATTGAGGCCTTAGTTTACTCGTTACCGCCTTAAAAATAAGGCAGCATATCCCGAAGGATATCACGATAAACATAGCTAAAGCAGTGAGTGATAGGTACAGAAACGGTGAGAATTTGGCATACATATAGTATTTCAAGATGAATAACTATTCTCCTGTAGATTTAACTTAGGGGTTGGCTTTCAAATTTGGCCACGGGCCTGATGATAGACAGATTGGTTGAAATTTATATCCTCGAAAAGGGAAGATAAAAACGGAAAATAAATTCATCAACAATTAGTAATTAGATAGCAATTAGCTTTTAGCGTCGCTCTTCGCTATGACATTCTGAAGATTTACACAGCGAGAGTGCCTATACGCCATCGACGACCGTTGTACACTCGCCATTTTCATCAACCGCCTTCTTCGTCCAAGTTCCACGGCCGTCATGCATCCATGGCCCATCACGTAGAATTTCTCCAAGAATAACTTCGATCTCAGCCCTCACCGGCTTCATCTGATAATCGCACGCTATGAATTTCTCGAGACGGCCCTTCCTCCCCATGTTCTGGACAGCATGCGCAATGAGCGAGTACCCCGTAGCAAGTTCCATCCAAGGATCACCCGGGTCCAGGGAGCCTCGCTGCTCAACCTCAGTTGCCCGGTCGAGCCGACAAGGACCCAACTGGATTTTCAGCGTCTGAAGATTCTTCATGCTTACCACAGCATCCAGGACCCGCTGGACATGGTTGTAGAAGGGGAAGACAGCGATATAAGTGAATGATGTTAGGTTTTGGAGCGGGGAGGACGAATGATTTTGGCGTCCTCCGGATAAGGTATGTTTCAGGGCCCAGGCGTTCCAGCGGTGGAAGATAGAAGGGACTTGGTAGAGGAAGTATTCGTAGTGGTTGTATGCCTTCAGCGAGGATGCCTCGTTGAAGACCATGGACGTCCAAGGTATATGTTCTAAGATACTGGCGTGCTTATCTGTTAAGACGGGAGCTTGATAGTTCTCATCGAGCTCTAGTTGAACGACCTGATGAGGTATTTGGAACGCCCAGCTATGCTCCTGCGGTGGTATCATCCCGAACAAGTTGCCAATAGCCAAGGGCGACGCAACAACCGTTAGACGTCGCGGCACGAGGGAAGAAAGCAGGGTTCGCCACCACCCGGAATAACCGAGTTTATAGTAGCCACCACTTTCTGCTACCACCAGCGACGTGACATAGCGGGTTAAATCCCACTTGGACAGGAACGCGAGGTATTCATCTGTATCTTTCAGGTTGAAGCAGCCGTGGGCGAAGAGTAGAGGTCGGACAAGAGCAGAGAAGCGAGAGCAAGTAAGGGAGAGGCTCTTCAGATCGCGCCTCCATGACCTCGCAATTTGAGTATTTGGGGGTAGATGCAAGCTGTTTGTTGAGGCGGGAGGCGAGGCGAGGAGGTAGATGATTTCATCAAGCAGCTCGTTCGGTAGTAATTCGATAGGAGCGGCTGAGGCCATCACTGCGTGCTATCAATGGGAGATTCTCACATCGCAAGGGACGCACGGAGCTGGAACATGCGTTTGGAGCATTGAATGTTATGAGCTACGTATGTCAAAGAGCTCAGAGGAGTAATGGAGAAGCAGAAGATGAGGAGGAGCTCGACCCCACCGGCTCCACCGATAAGGCCCCTCGCCCCAGTCTTGGTCTTGGCTCTGGCTGGAAAAAAAAGTAAAGACAAAAAGAATGACCGACGCAGGGCTCGAACCTGCAATCTCCTGATTCGTAGTCAGACGCCTTGCCAATTGGGCCAGCCGGCCTTGCTTGTAAAGAGAGCAGTATTATTCTATTATATAAACCAAAAACTTGCACAACAGTCTGACCGCCCAGAAGCATCCAGAAATTATTCCACGTGATCCTTGCCATAACTCTGCCTTGACAACAACGATTCTTCGAACAATTTCATAGACAGCCGTTTTCGCATTTCATATCATACCGCTCATACCATTATCATGGGATCCGTCGTTCTGCCCCATTTGCGCACTGCATGGCACGTGGATCAAGCTATTCTCTCGGAAGAAGACCGACTAGTGGTGCGTACTCTAAATATATCTTCGAGAGTTAGTACTAACTAAAACGCTTGAGTGCAGGTTATCCGATTCGGTCGGGATCATGATGTTGACTGTAAGTTGATTATCATACCTTTTGCGCAGCTCCGTGGTCGTCTTCATTTCAGTGCTAACTTCCACCAGGTATGCGCCAAGACGAAGTCCTCTTCAAGCTCGCCGAGCGAGTAAAGAGTAAGTCTAGTCTATCATCTTCATCGAGTTCAAGCAGACTCTATGGCTTCGGCTTCTAGAGCAGTGACTCACTTCCCCGTTCTTATGTAACCTAGCTAACAACCACAGACTTTGCCGTAATCTACCTCTGCGATATCGACGAGGTGCCCGAGTTCAACACCATGTATGAACTGTTCGATCCAATGACCATCATGTTCTTCTTCCGGAACAAACACATCATGTGTGATTTCGGAACTGGTAACAACAACAAGTTGAACTGGGTCCTTGAGGATAAGCAAGAGTTAATCGATATCATCGAAACGATCTACAAGGGCGCCAGGAAAGGACGCGGTCTTGTTGTTAGTCCCAAGGGTGAGTTACTTCCTCCATTTACTTGCAGTGGATGGTGGCGATGGCTAATGGTTGGTAGATTACTCCACGAGATACCGGTACTGAGAGGCCTCGTGTGGGCATGGTTCCTGGCGGCCTTATGTGGACTGCCCCAGCGAGCTCTTTTTGCTTGATACGGGGAGACGGGACTCTTGATATGAATGACCTTATCATAGCGTTTTAATGAATTATGATACCTACGGACATGATCAAGGAGCATTGTCCATGACAAACATTTATTCAGATGCACAAAGAGTGTAGACTTAGACATATAACTGCAAATACACAATGCATATCTCCACCACGATAATGTTCGACCGACATCCAGTTAGTTTTCCGAGCGCTTGTCGTAGACTTCATCTATACTGCCAACAAACGGAAGCGTACCGTATCCGCCTCAGCGCTCAGGCGGGTCGACCTATAACGACAGGCGGGGTCGCCAAAACGACAGGCCTCTAACCGCTTTTGGACGATCTTAGATGATTACATAATTTTTTCCTAGATGGTAATAACAACAGGCCTTGCTCTTTTTTTGCCTCCTCTGCCTTGTCTCCCCCCTCGCAATCCCCTACCTCTTGTCGCTTGCTTGATTATACAGTTAACTAACGCTCTAAGTTTAGCTATTATTTGGGTAATTGTGGTAAGGTAGCTTTACTATAAAATTTATATGTAAATATACTTCTTAAAAATGTCTAAGTTAACTTGCTCCCTTAACACGAATCGGGCGCGATTTACCAGGCGGTGGCAAGGCCTGTTGTTATTGCGGGTGGTGGCCAAATCAAGTAATACGCTAGCCCAATATGGATTAAGGGCCCCGCGGCCTGTCGTTATTGCGACCCGGCCTGTTGCTTTAGTTCGAGTTCGACCCCCCTCAGGCACCCGGGCCCCACAACCACGATGGATCTTCTTCATTGACATCAACACCGCCGCCGCAGCAACCAACATCCAGAACAAGCTCCTACCACAAATAGAACCATTGCACACCAACAAGATGATCGACCGCGCTATCTTCGAGAGTCTCCAGACCAAGATTGACGAAGAGGCGGCCGTTAGAGATGTAACGTTCCACACATCCCAAAAAGCCCAAATCGACTACCTAACACTGCAAACAGGAGCTCCGTGATATCGTGCAGAGTCTCTCCAGAAAGGGTACGCACCAGCTCTTGCACTTCTTTTCTGCCCAGCTAGATCGCTGTATGTGTCGAGAGGAAAACTAACAATTGACACGCGACAGGCTGCTCCACCCAAGCTGCCCTCTCGCGCGCGCACTCCACGCCCGCAGCGCAGTGTATGTATCAACATACCCCCATCAAGAACCACTGACTAATGAACCCAGTGCAACCCGTCCTCGAAGACTCAACAAAGGAGATCCTCGCGCAGAAAGAGGAGATCCTGCGCCTGAAGAGCGTGGCCGACAAGCACTCATTCTACAAGTACAACGGGGTGTGGTCGCGCGATCTCCAGGATCTTGTCAGTGCTTGTGCTTCCCTTACACCGAGCAGCAGCTGAAAGGGTTCTTGCGAGCTTGACTAATGTGGTATGGACAGGTTGCGTCCATCGAGCTATGCGCGTGGCTGGGCGGGTTCCAGGAGTACAAGGGCTCCGAGTCGGCTTCGTTCTTGACGATGGAGGAGGTTGGGAAGTTGCTTGAAAGTATGCCGTCCCGCTTTTCTGCCTACCGTGGCTTGGTAATGGGAACTGGTTACTGATGCGCGTACAGTCCCCGTGAATCTCATAGAAGAGGACAAGTTCCACCTCACGCTTGAAGAGTACCTCCTGGGAATGATCTCCATGATTGAAGAGCTGGTACGTTCCTCGCCTACTGTTCTTTCTCAACCCATGTTTTCTTCGAGCTCTTCTCTAAATTGACATGCCAGGCCCGTCTTGCCGTTAACGCGGTTACGCTTGGTGACTACGGCCGTCCCGCGGTAATTGGCAGCTTCATCAAGGAGCTGTTCAATGGTTTCCAGCTCCTGAATCTGAAGAATGATATCCTGCGTAAGAGGAGTGATACCATTAAGTACAATGTAAGCTCTAATCTTCGGCTATTGTTAGATGGAGAGGCTAATAGCGATGCAGGTCAAGAAGGTGGAGGATGTGGTTTACGATCTCTCGCTGCGAAACCTGATCCCCAAAGGCCAGGACGCCTAATTGCGTCGACATGATTGGTTGAGCGTGTATGCGGTAGTGGTATTATGATGAAACGATATGGACAAAAATAGATAGTGCTCAGTACTCAATGAGATATCTGCAAAGCAGCATTAGTCTGCAACGAGCAGGTCAACGGTTAAAACTTGGTATCATAATCCATAAAACAAAAAACCCTCAAAATCACGCCAACTTGGCAGTCTCGCCCTCTGCAGACTTGGAAGCCAAGAGTCCCGCCTTCTCAGCCTTCTCAATCTCCTCCAAAATCTTACCCTCCAAACCCTCGGGCTTAGTCGTACTAGCCCAGCGGCCAACAACCTTGCCATCCGCGGAAATCAGGAACTTCTCGAAGTTCCACTTGATCCTCTTCAATCCCAACAGACCGGGCTGGCTCTCCTTCATCCACGTCCAGAGCGGGTTCGCATTGTCACCGTTGACCTCAGTCTTGCCCAGGACAGGGAAGGTAACGCCGTAGTTCAGCTGGCAGAATTCCTGGATCTGGTCATCGGAGCCGGGGTCCTGGCTGCCAAATTGGTTGCAGGGGAAGCCGAGGATGACGAAATCATCGGGGCGCTTGGACTTGATGGATTTGTAGAGGGTCTCGAGGCCCTGGAATTGAGGCGTGAAGCCGCACTTCGAGGCGGTGTTGACGACGAGGATAACCTTGCCCTTCAACTGGTTTAGGGGGTAGGCGCTGCCTTTCTCTGTTGGAGAAATAATGCTTAGTTCGTCTTGTTACCGTGTGGAGGTGGAGGGGAAAGAGGGGCAGGTAATATAGGTCGAGTGGGATACAGAACGTACTGTCAGCAGGCTCAAAGTCGAAGAATGTAGTCGCAGAAGACATGGTGCTGAATGTGAATCGAGAGCTTGTATGCGATAGTCTCAAACAAAGTCGCTGTTGAGTCTGAAGAGAAGCGGGAACTCGTGAGGGGAAAATGCAGGGATCCGTCGCGGGAGAAATTGTGGCACCACAAAGTCTTCGAACAGGGAAAGTAGTCGCCTTTTGTATGCGACTCCTCAAACTAACTGGTCTGGTCGGACAGGAACTAGATCTGAGACTGAGTAATCCGAAGGCCGATAAGCCACAATTATGAGTTGGGTAAGTTGCAGAGGCGAGACTAAGAGACATGGATGATGGATGAAGGTGGCACCCGGCTCCGAGGTTCGCGGAAGCAACGAGAAACCTGGAAGGAGCCCAGAAGCTTGTGAGGCTTGTGAGGGGCGGCTGTCCGGATGCAACGGGCCCGGGGCCCGAATTGCATAACGCTCTGGGGAATTGCTAATAATAATCGCAATGATGCGCGTTTTGTCAGCTGGTTAGTCGAGACCGTTCGGCGTTGCGATTCCAAATTCATGTAACTGTGGCTTGTTATGACTTCATCGATTGCGATAAGATCATAAGCTTTCGTTCCTGGGCGGTTTGATTGGTCGGTGGTTATACGGAGTAGTGGTTTTAGCTTCGTATGCGTATGCGTCGTACATTGAGAGCGCAACTACAACGCTACTCTTACGATAAATTTCGAGTATACGGTACTCCGAGTTCCGTGCAGAAATTCGGGGCAAAGATACTTTGAGTCCGAACGTGCAGGAAATTCGGGGCCATGATACTTTGCCAGTCCGAAGGCACAGTTGCTGGCCTGCCGTGACACGGCGCAAAGACGGCTTGACTCTTGCGATGGAGTATGCCGATATTCCAAATACTTTGTTTCAGATAGAGCCGCAAGTGGGAACAGTGGCTACTCCGTATTCCTTCAGAAGTAATGTCTAGCTATACAATACTCTAAAGTGGAGCTCATAGAAGGGCTCAAGTCAGCACTTCGACGACGCGCACGAGCGACCGATGACTGGGGTTGTGTCCTTCGCTCAGCATCGACCTCGTGGTGCGGCTAGAGGACTGCATGCGAGCTATATGCTGGCACGATACGGGCCCAGTCTCACTTTGCTGATGACAGGTGCCGATGCTCAACGAAACCCGGCGCAAAAAGAGGTCGGTCAATCTCTGAATGCTGACATGAAATGGGTCATGAATCACGACCAACGTGTTGTCAAGTGTGCTGCAAGTTCACGCGTCGGTACGTTGTTGGGTCTCTGTCCGCTATCGCCAGAGATTGAGGCTGCAGTTGACCAGTTCCCTGAACAGACCATTCCAGCTAAGGCGGACTCGTCGTACGAAACCAGAGCGGCTCGGAATCCGCGTTGACTTGCGCTCCTGCTGTTCTCCTTTATTCTTCCGTTATGTCCTCGTCAACATCTTATTCATCGCTTTCCTCCTTCAGCACATCCACATCTAGCTCTTCCATAACCCCAAGAACAACACCCAGACTTTCCATAAATCCGTTGACGGCAACTCTCAGCATGCGGTTCGTGGTGGCCTTGTAGGTGGTTTCAAGAACGGTCTTCCCCTCGTCACTGTTTGTATTCTGGTCTTCAGGATTGGGACTCCTGACGGCGAAATATCGTCGGACGTGCGGGGAGAGCTCGGCATCGACTTCGAGGGCGCGCATAGCGGAGGAGGCGAGTCGGTTGCTAGGAAGGGGGAGGGAAATTGTGCTGTCCAGGGAGTTAGTGGGTTGTGGGTAGGTGGGAGAGGTTCAATCTTACAGCGTGCAGGGGAAGTCGGCATCTGAATTCTGAGTGGCAGACATGTTGGATGTAGGGATTGGTCGCGAAGACTGACGATTTGGGAATATGGATTGGATGGCGACCGGTGTTGTTACATGCACAGAAATTGTTTCCCTTGAAAGTTGACGATAATGAAGCTCGGCGGGGTGGCGCTTAGTCATCAGACGGCTGTTTTCTCCGGGATTTTAGCAAGCGCTTGGACCAGTGTTTTCCAATCATTCAGCACCGAGATGGTTGAACCCCAGTTTTAACTACATCCGCAGGTGAATGCGACAGTTATACTACTCAAGGGCAGAGTTTTGAAGAAGTTTCAATTAATTATATTCACTAAAGGGTATTAAGATATAAGTTGCTCTCGTACAGAATTTCGGAGCCTTGACTTTCGACATGGCTCCGTCGTGACATCCCCTCGGCTGGATTTACGCAGCCTGAGCGAGGACGCCGTTGAGGTTGGCAAGGCCAGCTGTACATGAAATTAGTGGCCGCTCATAAAATCAGTATTTGGAGGGCTTACCGGTTCCACCGATAGCAGTCAGGACGTTCTCAAGGCCAGCAGCGTCGACCTGACCGTTCTGGATACGGCTGACAAGGCTGCTAGAGAGGTCGCCAACGTTGGAGACAACGCCATCGACGTTGACAACGGGCTGAACGACTGGAAAGGCGTCAGTACATCTGGTTCTGGATGACAATGAATTCGGATTTCATACCATCAGTGACGCTGGAGACGACATTGCCAGCAAGGTGGACGACACCCTGCACAATGCCGGTGTTACCGACAACGCCGACAACACCGCCAACGACGCCAGTCAGGAGACCGCGGATGCCGACAAGTTCTGGGCAGGTTAGCACCACATCGACCTGAATGCGTTACGATGACTGCGTACCGTTCTTGGTGTCGACGAGAACCTCCTGGGTGGAGGAACCGACAACGGCACCATCAATGTGGGTGAGGACTTCGTCAAGGTGTTGGACGGTAGAGTCAATCTTGACGGTGTTGAGGCCGGGAAGCGCAGCAGCAGTGGCGGTGCTGGCGACGGCGAGAGAGGCAATGATTCCAGTGAACTTCATTGTGATGGATTAAAAAGATTAAAGGAAGGTAAGAGAATGAACTTGGTCAGATAGAATGGAGGTCTTGGGTAAGGAATGACTGGAACGACTGTTCTGGCTGAGAGAAGAAGCATTTCTGGAGGGATATCGCCTGCCCTTTATACCAGCAATGGCCTCTCGTCATCTCCTTTACTTTGACCACTTTGGTTCCTGCATTTTCTGTGCAGATCAGGAGCGTTCCGGCTGCAGCTTGTTGTGGCAATGATTCACAGGTACGGAAAATAGCTCCTCGAGCAATGGTATCCAATGTGGGAGCAATAGTGATCGACGAGAGAGGGACTTCCGCACCATAATGCTCCACACCATCAGCTTGACATTGGTACTGTGTCGAATGTTGACATCGCCATCACCGTATGTACCGGACGGCCGAGCGGGTGCCATACCATCGGAAGCCGTGGATGAGGCTTAGGGGGCGACTCAGCGAGATACCGGAGGCGCCCTTGCTTCTCCGACGCTCTGCAAAAAGTCCGATATCAAGATGTCCTAATGTCCGATGCGTACCCGGCGAGCAACCAGCACCCAGCACTACTGATGGGCCATGGCAAGCAAGGCTATAGTATGTCGATCATGTACAGCTATCCCTGAATCATGGCCAATCCCAAGATGATATGCGGGGAAACGGAAAAGCATAGCTGGGAATTGACCCAGGGTTCCTGAGCAATAGTTCGGCTACCTAGCGCTGGACCCCGGGGCTGACAACCACGCCATAGAAGCCCGCAACAATCCCGAGAGATGCCGCTCACGCCATAAGCAAAACTTCGAGAATATTCACAGAGTCGTAAGGATAAAAAGGCTGTCTATCAGCAGCACTTTTGGCATCCTGAAAGGCTAGTTTCAGGGTTGCCCTCTACGGTCGTGGCTGCCCACGAGGCACTACCGTAGTCTCGGCAATGGCTTTCCTGGACGATCCAACAACCAGGTAAGTTGGCAGCAGTCGGCGGTCGCCTGTCTCTTGCCCCAGGTTCGCCTTGAGTCCCACCAGAATTGGGCAATGCTTGGTTCAACGGCCAAAAATTAGCTGTCGAGCCACTAGCTTGGTGCTAGGTGGGGATCACCCATGGACGAAAGGCGCCCGGGTCCCTGAATCCCCCGCGCCATCCGTCGATCATCGCCACCCCGCCAATAAGCGTGGGCAACTAGTGCGCTTAATAGCACGAACAATGACGGTGATCTTCGAAATTATTGACCCTGGCCAATTTTCTGATACAACGATGAACCTTATTCTACAATGTTGCCGCCTGCCATTTCCTAGCTGAGGAAATGCCTTGAACCTTGACAGGGTTTGCCACGAGAAGCCATGGCCTTGACTCAGGTGGCCTTACTCGCTGAGTTCGCTGACTTTATTACGATATAACAGTGACATAGGCGACGGCGGGTCAAGCAGTAAGTACTCTTAGTCCTCGGAGTCTTCGCTCACGCGATGTGAGCTCTAGAGTGCTCTATTTCGTGGCATGTGGATTTGAGCGGCTCATAGCGCATGTGCAGGCAATATCGCGGCATTTCAGGCGATTTACCGAACTAGCCAACGCATACCTCATGGGCTTCTTGACTAGGCACGCCGTTTCCCCTACAGGATCAACAAGGCTAGACGGACTGTTCTATTCGGGCAAGAATCTGACGCCTTTGGCTCGAGTTCATACCCATAATTGTCAAGCAAGGGCACGAGCAATATGGACTAGACAAACATGGACGTGGAAAGCAGCTACCAATTGAGCAGCCAGAGCTATTCCGTAGAGAGCATGACTTAGGCCTGGTCGATCTCAATGATTGATAAGATGGCGTTGCTACAGACTCTGTGAAATCAGGGCAGGCAGGCCTGAGCTCTATAGGGAGTACGGAATACGGGTATCGCTTGTCGACCTCAGCCGCAGATGTCGATCTACACGCGCGAGTCCCAACATGCAAGCTCGGAGCTCTCGACCGTTAGCTATATGCGAATATATCTGGCGCGGATCTAACCTGTCGAGTCAGGAATGCTTGTTTGCAGTTGTCGATGTCTTCAGAGTGCCTCTACTCAAATAACCGCGACTCACAATGAAACTCTATGGCTTCTCAACGTTTGCTTGCGTGTAACTAAATATGCAATGGACCCGAAGACCTATAGAGCTTGAGCTCGTTTTGGGGCCAGAAGCCCAGCCAAAGCCATCCAAATGTTGGCTGCTTGTTTTTGTTTTTGGATGTGGCTGCTCAGTCTTTATGTATAGTCTGACAGCGGAGTAAGCTCATCGTATAGACAGTCACTGGATCCAGCTCGGCTGGGCTTGCTTGCGTGGATACGAGGACCAACCTTCTTAATCTTATGTCACAGCCCGCTGGCAAACGAAGGGCCCCAGTATCTTCCCCCATGACACTTAGAAGACTTAATCAGTTCTCAGCCAGGATGCCCCGAGTTCCATTTGGAATTTCACCGGAAAGCCGAAGACCCAGGAGCAATGCAATGCTGTTGGCCGAAGCCGCGACGTCCAGCGATGATTCAGAGGAAGCGCTACCTGAAGATAACCCCTCAACGATTGGCAGCCATGTCGCGCATGACTTATTCAAGCCTCGCAGCTCGAAGACTGGGACGGATCTAGCCCTCGCATCGAGAAATCGTACGTCAAGGGGAAATTGAAGCTTAATGTCAGAGGATTATTCAGCGCAACGTGAGCCATCCCGGACAAACAGACCATCTTTCAAAACGCAGGTCAGGATGGTGACCCAGAGCATGTTGTGCGTTTTGAGCGCGGATACGGAACAGAGCACGACGACAGCGGGGTTTGTCCTTCGCTAAATAGCCCGAAGCTAGGCATGCCCCTCGGTTGCTTTTCTTATACATCTGCTGACGTTGTGATGGTGCCGTCAGGAATTCCTTACAATATTCCGGATATAGACGAGGGCTGAGACATCATCCCTTCTATTAGGCACTGATGCACATCTCAGTGGGATTTTGAGTTCATTGCAGTTTCTTTATCCTGAGTTCTTTGGCGAATAACCTTCTTGCAAGAGTAGTCATTGATGAGATGAGTTCTCAGCCAAAACTCTTCACCGACGAGGACTTCGGGCTATGCAAGGAGATTTATTTGATAGTCCATCAATGGAGCACGGCGAATACGATGCCCGACGACTCTATTAACGAAGCTTTACATGCTGGCGCACCGGTTCATATCTCTGCTAACTTGGCCGATCTTTGCGAAGAGGATGATGATACTTGTACCGTCTACTCTGAACCGGACATATCAATGAGCTTCTCGAAGATGGTCTTGCAGCGGGGATCGCGAAGCTCATGCTATCTAAGGTTTATAATTTAGAATTACTTCGCAATGGTCTACAGACCATAAAAGACCTATCGACAGACAACGCCAGGAAGACCACCACTTGGCATCAAGTATCTCCCCATCATTGCAGCAGACAGGCTTACCACCCAGCGCTGCTATTTGCTATTTTTGTACAGGATCATAGCCAGAAGGACCGTGATGACCGAGGCCTACAAGTCAAGTCAGCCACAAATACAACCCTCTCACTCTCAATGTACGGACATACCAATAAAACATCCATCCCCTCCGCGGCAATAACCTCCCACTCAGGCCTCCTAAACAACACCACATACCCAGCAAATATACTCCTCTTCTCAAACCTAACACTCATAACGCATTTCCCCGTCTTCCGATGAAACATATGCGTACTTAACTTAAACGCGTCCTGGCCCCGGACTTCAAAGACAGGCTCTCTCTCCTCGGCCGCATCCGCAGCGTCACCTCTAAGATGCAGATGCACGTCAAATTTATCTTCTCCGGTACCGGATCTTCTCTTTGGCAGGATCGTTGCGATCGGCTGCTCGGTTTTGCGGTTTAAACTGGGGAGGTGCAATCTTCACATTCCGCCTAGCTTGGAGCTGACAATCTCGAACAATGGCAGGCCCAACGCGTCGAGGAAGGTTCGGCGCTGCGTCCAGGAGGCGAAGGTGCTGGTGACTGTGAAGAGGGCTGTTAGTTCAACTTCATCAAATGCGTTGATACGTGGGATCGTGAAGTTTCCGCTGGATAGGGTGCTATAAAGCATCCAACTCGGGACGCAGAGCGCCAATCCAGGTGCCAACCGTGGAAACAATAGCATTAATATCCGCGAAGTGAGACCATTTCGAAACCGTGAAGCTATACTGGGAGGTAACAGTATTGGGTTTGAAATGTGAGATTCTGCAAGGAGAGAAAGAAAGAAGAAAAAGGAGGATGGAACTTGGGGGCAGCGGGTTGAAGACGTTCGGCCTGCCCACAACGCTCCTTCCGTCGGAGGGTTCCTTCCCTGGACGTCAGAAGACAAAAGGGAATGAGAGCATGATTGACTACTTCGACTGAACCCTCCAGTGATACGGTACAGACGAGAAGAAAAGACCACCAGTTCTCTCGTGCAACAGACGCCGGTACTCCTCTCCCATCAAAAAAGACCTATTTCTCTCGGTCGGGTCGCTGTCCCTGCTGCTAACGCGCGAGGCATCCTGGAAGAGCCGTGAGACATCACCGGGGCTTGCAGTGACCAGATAACGTTTTTCTGAACCAGACAGAACTCGTTTCCATTTGACATCGTCGATATCCAACCCTGACCCCAGATCCACCCATTTCGTGACCACAACAGCTCTTCCATCCGCTCCACAGCTGTGGAGACTAACTCGGAACTCGACACCGCAGGCCCGGCAACATTGATTCTCGAGTACTAGACCTTCGCGGTGCAACTGCAGGTCGACATCGACATCCCAGCCTCCAGCTCGTACTGCATCGCCTACACACTCGTGCGCGCAGATCTTTGTAAGCCTCAGCTCGCCCATGACGGAATCCATGGCTGGCCTATCGTGGAATAGCGTCCAGTTTTGGACTTGGAGGACTAAGGTCGATGCGGATGTGGAGCCTTCATCTCTCCGCTGGGTCTGGTCCTGCGACCTCGAGCACACCCGCCCCTCGACAGAGACCAATTCCGTGACCACTGAATCCCGGACACCCGGACTGTTGGTGGTTACCTGTGTGTACTGCAACATCTCAGCCGTGATTGTTCGAGTGCTTCCTCGAAAGTGATTCTGCATGACAGCCGCTAGATGGCCGTGCCGGAAATTATACAGCACACCCCCGGCCCAGCTGCCAAGAAGCATCCAAAGCGGCCCGAGGATATCGTCGTAGTGTTCTCTTGATATATCCGGACAAGAATGATACCTGTTTCTGTCTGTTGAAGCGGGGTGTTTTATGTCTGCGAGTCGCTGCAGCTTTGCGCACCGTAGGCAGCAGAATACATCTGGATCGTCGCGGGCAATGCGGATGAGGGTCTCCGTCTTGAATTTGGACTTGTGCTTAGATTGGGATAAGAATGAAGCTGGGTTCTCCTTGCTTATTGTGCCTAGGAGCTGATGGCTGCAGAGACCGAGGCAGAGGATATCGGGGCCGCTGAGGAAATCCGCAATGCACAGAATGAGTTCGGGTGGGAGGGTCTCTAGTGCTGATAATTGTCGGCTAGGTTTTCTCGTTGCTTGCCCCACGTAGTTTACTGCCCGCTTCAGAAGCAAAGCAAGGCAGTCCATTTTGGTTGACTGTGCCGGTACAAAATGGCGACTCGAGTGATGTCGATGGCAGGATTCAGAGTTTGGTCATGATGGCGATGAAGAGCGACACCTAGCACGTGATTGGTACAGAGTGTATCCCAATGAATTCCGGTCCAGAAGTATGGTTGTATTGCCGGAGGCTTTTCCGATTGGGTTGAGTACAATGCCAGTCCAAGAACTCTGTGGTTGTTGGGAAGCTTAAACTTGCCCAGGTGGCTTTGCCCGCTCATTGTAGGTCTGTCTACATTTGGTGCTATATCGTTTCAACCTTGGGCCCTTGGAAAGTCAAAGTAATCTGCTTACCCCATAGCCCAGAGCCTGGGAAGTAGCTACCAGTCGTACTTTTCGTACATACCATGCTAGCACGACATAGGATTCCAGACCAGATGCGAAGCCGTCACCATACGGTCCCATACCCTAGTGATATACACTACGCACACAGTCATACAAGAAGCCACCGGGCCATTCCCCTTCCAAAGCTGCACATATGCCGCATCCACCCTTACTAACCCATCAGCCTTCAACTGAAGAAAACCCTCCGCATTCCGACTCCGTGAACCCAAACATCTTACTCACAACCCTTGCCTCCCAGAAACTTATGGATACATCGCCCGCCGCAGTGCCTCAACAGCAACACCGCGAAAACGATCACTCGTCTGCATGCATATCAAAGCTTGGTTCGTGGATGCCCGCGCAGCTGGCACAGCCCGCCCAGCAGGCTTGCCATGTGCCTCGCGACACTAAGTACCTTGTTTACCTCCCCGGGACCTTGTTTTCACAGTAGCGGTAGCAGCGGGCGGGTCTTCTCGCCATTTTTGGCTGTGCAGTGCCAGTAACAATGCGCAGGGTAAAACGCCCTGATATGGGTCTTTGTTGGGGTGCTAGGACTGCGAGACTCTGCTTTTATGTCGGATACGCATGGTAATGTATAGTTCGAACTTCGGGCTCGGGTTAGGGCTCGTTCTGCTTCGGAATCCGAACCCGAGAGCGGGAGCGGGCCCGCGGATCTCCCGCCACTAAACTGAAAGGGGTTTTTACTGTGCAGATTGTTTTCCTATTCATCAGTAAGAGGGTGCAGATGGAGCTGGGTGGGGTGGTAGGGTTGCCCGAGTGTTAAGTCAGGCTATACCTAATTAGGCGTTTGCCGAGCTTTTAGGTGGCTTATTTAACCTATATTATATATATAATTATATTAGCTAGGGTTATAACTAGTTACCTTAAGCTAGGTTATAATTAATTAGCTTAAAAACTTAAAAAATTTTTATATAAAGCCTTTATTAATAATATAATTATTTACCTTATTTTTTTTTACTTTTTTTTTTATATATTTAATTTTAAATAACTAAATAACCCTAAATAACTAGTTTTTTTAAGTTTAATTATTTAATAACTAGTTTTTTTAAAGTTAGCCCCCCACCCCTTTTTTTTTTTTTTTTTTTTTTTTTTAATATATTTATTAGTTAGCTATTAATAATTAGTTATATATTAATAATTAATTACCTAAGCCTGCACTTTTAAACTAGTTATTTTTTTTACCCCTTTTTTTTACCCCTTATTTTTAATAACTAATTATGTAACTAGTTACGCTGCTATAATAGGTTAAAAAATTATTAAGTTAAATACTTATAAAGTATATATTATTAAGGTTAATATAAAATAAAAGCTAATAAAAATTTAAAAAGTAAGTTTTTTTATATTTAATTATTAACTAGTTGCTAACTAGCTATAAATAATTAAAAATATTAATAATTAAAATATTTTAATTATATACCTTAATAAGCTTATTTACTATGTTTTAAAATATTAAAATATTATAAGTTTTTACTTATAATTAGTTATTAACTAGTTACTAACTAGTTATAAAATATTTTTTTAAATAAAAATAGCCTAGTTATATATATTAAATAATATTATTATAATAAAACTAAGCCTAACTAACTTATTTATAATTTTTTATTATATAAAAATAGCTTAATATTAAATAATTTAATTATAAAGGCTTTAAATAAGTTTTTATATATAATTAATTATAAATTAATTACTAACTAGTTATAAATTAATATATAATAGCCTTTAACTTTTTTAAAAAATAAAAGTATATTTACTTAATATAATTAATTATAAACTAGTTACTAACTAGTTATAGGAAAATCTTAACTTTAACTATTTTTAAAATAATTTTAATTACCCTTAAAATAACCTTAACCACCCTTAAAATAACCTTAATTACCCTTAAAATACCTTTAATAAAAAAACCTTGCTTTATAAAATATATATAAGTTTTTATATTTATATTTAGTTATAAACTAATTACTAACTAGTTATAATAAAAATTTTAAAAATAATAATACCTTTTTTAATACTAGTATTAAAAAAACTTTTATATTTATTTTTAAAACCCTTACCTTATTTAACTTTAAGGGCCTAAAAATAATATAAGTCCTATTTTAACTAGTTTTTATTTAGTTACTAACTAGTTATAAAATTATTAATAAACCTTTTTTTTTTTCTTACCCCTAGCTTAATAAAGTAAGTCCTATTTTTAACTAGTTTTTATTTAGTAACTAACTAGTTATAAAATTATTAATAATTTTTTTTTTACCCCTGGCTTAGTAAAGTAAGTCCTATTTTTAACTAGTTTTTATTTAGTTACTAACTAGCTATAATTTTATTAATAAACCTTTTTTTTTATTTTACCCCTGGCTTATTAAAGTAAGTCCTATTTTTAATTAGTTTTTATTTAGTTACTAACTAGCTATAATATTATTAATAATTTTTTTTTACCCCTGGCTTGTTATAGTAAGTCCTATTTTTAACTAGTTTTTATTTAGTTATTAACTAGTTATAAAAAAGCTAAAAGCCTTAAATTAAGGACCTTTCCTTATATATATTTTAAATTTAAAAGTATTAAAAGCCTTAATTTACCCTTTTTATTAATAAAAAATAAAAAAGTAAGTTTTTTTTTAACTAGTTTATATTTAGTTACTAATTAATTATTAGCTTAATTTTAAAAAAATTACCCGTGTTAGGCGTAAGGCATAAAAAAATAAAAATAATATTTTATTTAAAAAAAATATAGTAAATATAAATTTATAAAAACTAAATATAAGTTTTTTTAGCTAGTTATTATTTAATTATTAACTAGTTATAAACTATAGCTAGTTAAATACTTGTGTTTTTTAAAGGTATTTTATTACTTTTATAAGCAAAGAAAAGCAAGAGGTTATAAATAAAAACCTTAATAATAATAATAACTAGTTTTTTTTTAGTTTATAACTAGTTTTTAACTAGTTCTTTTTTTTATTTATAACTAGTCTTTAACTAGTTTTCTTTTTTTATTTATAACTAGTTTTTAACTAGTTATATTTTTTTTATTTATAACTAGTTTTTGAACTAGTTAGTCTTACTTGCTTGAAATTTAGGAGTCTAGCCCTAAATCTTTTAATAAAAGTAACTAGTTATACTTAAATTAATTTATAAATAACTAGTTATAAAAAATAACTAGTTATTAATATAGCTAGTTATATAAATAAAAGATATATATATATATATTTACTATTTATATAAAACTTTTAATAATTTTAATACTTAATTATATTCTTAAGATTTTATATATAAAAAAACTGGTGATATATTAATTAATATATTATAATTAATTAAACTAAATTAATAAAAAATTAATATATATATCTCTGTATATACCTGGTTTAGAAATCCTTAAATATAAATATATATAATAAAACTAGTTTTAGTACCTAACTAGTTTATTTATTGTATAATTAGTTATTTTAAATATTTTAAAATTTAAATATATTATTATTTAAGTTATGGCTTATATTATATAATTAGTTATAATAAGTATGTAAATATTAATAACTAGTTATATATATTATAGTAATAACAACTAGTTATTAATATAATTAGTTATTTTTAAAGAAATATAGTAAAACTAGCTTTAGTACTTAACTAGTTTATTTTATTTTATAGCTAGTTATATTACTATATTATAAAATTAAAATATAATATTATATTAAGTTAATATATTATAAATAACTAGTAATAGTATTTGTAGCTATATAATTATTTAATTATTTATAAAGGAAAATAGTTATATATATATTAATTTATATATTATAATTATTTAAACTAAAAAATTAATATATATCTTAATATATATATCTTTTTTATAACTAGTTAAATATTAATAATATATATAAACTAGTTTTAGTACTTAACTAGTTATAGTACTTACCTAGCCATAATTATAAAAGTAACTAGTTTTATTATATTTAAATATTATAACTAGTTACCTTAAAAAGTGATAGGAATACCCTTATATATTTTTTTTTATTTTATAAATTTATTAAATTATAATATAGTAACTAGTTATAGCTATAACTAGTTATATATTAAGTATATAATATATAATAAATTATATTTTTTTTAATTATTAATTTATTTTAAAACTAGTTAGTAACTAAATATTTAGTTAAGCTGTTTAGCTAATAATATAAAAAAAATAAATATAATTATTTTTTTTAATAATCCTAGCTACCTTACTAGCAGGTTTATTTAGATTACTTAGTAATAACTAAAATAAAAAATTAATTATTTTAGGACTTGTAAATATACCAGGAAATAGCTAAATAAAAGTAATTAATTATAAATTAATTATAACTACTACCTACTTTTAGTTAATATTTAAAGTTTATAAAGCCATTATTATTAATAAAAAACTAGTTTTAAACTAGTTATGGTGGGTATGCCCTTTAATATTTATAAAAAAAGTTAAAAAATAACTAGTTTAAAACTAGTTATAAATTATTTATAAGCTAGCTAAATAGTTAAAAGTTAATTTTAAAACTTTAATTATTAAATTTAAAGCTACTGTTGCTATATATAAACATGCTATTTAAGTTAATTAAACTAACTACTTTTTTAATTAAATAAAATAACTTAATATATATTAGGTTTATAAA